GATAACCATGGATAACCATAGATAACCATAGATAACCATGGATAACCATAGATAACCATAGATAACCATAGATAACCATGGATAACCATAGATAACCATGAATAACCATAGATAACCATGGATAACCATGGATAACCGTGGATAACCATAGATAACCGTGGATAACCATGGATAACCATAGATAACCATAGATAACCATGGATAACCATGGATAACCATAGATAACCGTGGATAACCATGGATAACCATAGATAACCATAGATAACCATGGATAACCATGGATAACCATAGATAACCATGGATAACCATGGATAACCATAGATAACCGTGGATAACCATGGATAACCATGGATAACCATAGATAACAATGGATAACCATAGATAACCGTGGATAACCATGGATAACCATAGATAACCATAGATAACCATAGATAACCATGGATAACCATAGATAACCATGGATGACCATGGATAACCATGAATAACCATAGATAACCATGGATAACCATGGATAACCATGGATAACCATGAATAACCATAGATAACCATGGATAACCATGGATAACCATGGATAACCATGGATAACCATGGATAACCATAGATAACCATGGATAACCATGGATAACCGTGGATAACCATAGATAACCATGGATAACCATGGATAACTGCATTAATATGATATAAAAAAGAAGCAAAGATACGTACGAACTACACTTCTGCATGCTCATTCAATAACCATGATATCTATCATAACCGGTTATTTATAATTTTTAAGCACATTAAAGCCCCCTATATATTGCCAGGTCACTACATGCAATTGCGGGTAATTACTTAGAAAAAAGATGAAGAGATTCAGAAATTGAAATTAATAGAAACACAGCTCAGAGAATCACTTGAAGAAAAGGAAAAAGTATGATAATATTATAATATAAAATGCATTTAGTGCCAGTAATTCTCTAGCAATTGGCCGAGACAACAAAAACAGTTGATGAGTTAAGTTCTGAATTAGCTTTAAAAGTTGACGAATTGTGTCAAGAAACTTTAAAAAATGAAGAATTAGTTTTTGTTGTGGCAGAGCAAAAAGGAAAACTTGAAGAAATGGAGAAATATAAAACACAAGTGAAGCAAATGGAAGATTTAGTTGAAAGAATTAAACTAAAAGAAACAGAGGTTTGTTTACATCAGTTCACTTTCATGAGGTTGTATTCTGATGGGGTGGCCAATATCACTAAATAGGTTTCAGTAATGTATGAAGTTAGATCCACCATAATAATGGATTATGTATAGGTTATACACCGAGGTAGAGGTTTCTATGGTATTTATTAACCGAGCGACGCAGTCGCGAGGTTAATAAATTCCATAGAAACCGATACCGAGGTGTATAACCAAATTCTACCATGACACTTGAAAAACAACTACCAGCTGCTGATAATAAGACCACAGTTGACATACATACAACATATCTAACAGGCTAGGCCAGTAAAGAATCAACCAAACTTGACAAATGGACTAATAAGAGCATAAGCGTAGAGCACCAAACTGCCAATCAATTAATTATTTAACGAGATAGGTTTATATTTTTACGAGCTAGGTTAATATGAAAAATAATTGACCTCCAATACTGCAATCTGATTGGTCAATCGCAAGGTGGCATGGTAGAAAGCTGTTTATAGCTATTAGCTCTAAACCATCATATATGCTATTAGGGATACTTTGTTTTGTTTTTTGTTTACTTTTGATGGTATGCTGCAGCTATGCTACATTTTCCTGTATAAACACAAGACTACTCTAGTTGGTAAACAGCACAGTATGTAAATAACATGATTTTTATTGCTTCACAATACTAAGTTGGCTGTAGACCACAACTTATTTACAGTAATATGCATGCATGAGTATGTTCTATTTAACATGCCTTTAAAACACTAAATTAAAAAATGAATGGCTACAATATAGTAATAGGTGTACATGCCTCATTTTATAGAATGCTGTTTACAAACAAGACTTTGAAACTGAAAGAAACGACAGACAAAGGATACATATTGAATATGAAGAACTAAAGCTGAAATTTGAAGAACTTAAATCAAGCCATGAACAATTGACTGAATTGAAGTCTAAGCAACAATCAGTAATAGATTCTTGCATGCATGCATAAAATTTGCTGTGTGTGTGTGTTTTAGTGTGCTTACTGACAATTACATGT